GGTGATTGGTGTTTAGATCAGACGGTAGGTGATCGGCTGATTGGTGTTTAAATCAGACGGTAGGTGATCGGCTGATTGGTGTATAGATCAGACGGTAAATGACCAGGTGATTGGTGTATAGATCAGACGGTAGGTGATCGGGTGATTGGTGCTTAGATCAGACGGTAGATGACCAGGTGATTGGTGTATAGATCAGACGGTAGGTGATTGGGTGAATGCGGTAGGATGATATGATATGGATGGGCGTACTGGGCTTACGTCGCGGTGATGGTGATGGTCGCTGGCCTAATGGGCTGATAGCGGCGGTGGATGGCACCTGGGCTGATGGGCTGATAGTGAGTGGGCTGACGTCGGGTCAGTTCAGGTAAGCATTCAGTTCAGTTCAGTTCAGATGTCATTCATCAGGTAATTCAGACAGATATTCAAGGGTAATTTGTATTGCTGCAACAGGTCATTTTCGTGTCGATCTCGCACATCGGTCTTAAAGGGAATATTCAACATTTGATTTCATTGAAGAAAGCATCATATTTGATGAACTGAGCCCACTCCTAACCATAGGTATACCTGGAGGTGGGAAAGACTGCTCTAAGCTACATAATTTCTCCATTTAGCAAATATGCCTCTTAATCCATCATCGTTTGATCGCGTCACGGAACGTTTGCATAATATCAGGGGTACGGCCAAACTGGCCGTGCAAAATTGCCACCCTAACACTCACTCGTAGCATTTTAGCTCACCACGAGATGGCAGTGGTGGTGCTGAACGTGTTTGCTGAAACAAGTATCGTTATGGGCTCGTGTTTTGGCCCTCGTTGTGTTCTTGAAAACTTGCCGGGGAGTTTGAATTTCTGCTTATGTTCACATACACGCTTATGGCGTTATTCTTGTTCGATTTCAAGTCGTATTTCCGTAACATCTTTATCATGTAGTGCAAAACGTGCTGTTTAAATCTGTACCGTGACTGATTCGTGTTTGAACTGCATTGCCTGCACAACATTGATCGAGATCCATTTAAAGTTTGTTATATCTGGTAAAGCGCGATCACGAACGTCAGACATGAATGACTCGAGATTATATTCTTCTTAGCCTTGAGCGATGCGTGCGGAATGGGATGGCAGTATTTGAAGGATGATTATGCGGTGTTATGCATGTCTAAGTGAATTTGAAATTGTCTGCATATTTTCGCAGGCTTGTAGTTCAGAAACCGGGGGATTTTAGTTCTTGAGAAGGGCAGGGCTTCGAAGTACACCGAATGTTCTTCAAGATGGCTATTTCCATTAAAAACCTCATACAAATGTTGAACACTCCCGTTCACAACAGCTCCACTGAAACAGTTACGCTTCGTGCAAGATTTGAACTCGGGCTCCAGAAAAGGAGTTGGTTTCGTTGCAGGTCACTGTCAGAACATGGATGTCAGGTAACGATGGTGCATCGATCAGTATTGCAAAGATCTACAAGAGGGGTTAGTTGCGTATAAAAATATGTGTCATATTGATAAAGAGCTATGACCTCAATCAACAGTAACTGTTTCATTGCGTAAGAAAACATTCCAAAGTTGCATGAACTCGTCTAACAGTTCTTTGTCGCATCATATGGTGAGTTTCCATAGAAATTTCCTTCCGGAAAAACCTAACTGACCACCTATAGGCCAAGAACATATCGATGATTTTTTGTCAAAAGACCAGCGATTAAATTGTCCAAAGCTGGATAAGGTTTTAGTGCAGAAGTTCTTTCGGAAAAAAACATTTGTAGGTCAAATTGACCCTCACTCGAAGACGTGCTTTTTCTACGTCAATGCTTGTTAAAAATTAATTCCAGGTAAGCGCGTACATGGGTTATATAGATACGGTTGCACCATCAGCGTTAGCTGCCGAACTGAATATTCGTTTTTGCATAGCTCAGGCAAGAGAGCTGGCGAATTTTGACCCACATTCCACGCGTTTCTGAAAGCGTGTCTTGCTCAGTATGAGTCAAATGTAGTTATACGCTGCTGGAAATGAATGAATCAATATGAGTGTCAAACCAAACGTGGCTACATTCGCTATGCGGATATGACCCCATCGCCGTCCGACTCCGCGTTACGAGCGGGGAAACATCCTACCCCGCTGGTCGCTCGTACATTTGTACCGTTGTCATGGCACTGTTTGGCTTGTTTGTCGGTTTTGAACAGATGGCGTAACTGGACCTGACCACGTGAGGAACGAAAAGCGGCCAAAACGGACCCCCACATTATTAACGCCTAACTTATTTGTGCCTTCAGTATCCGTCTTGATTGACGCATAGGAAAAGGAAGTGTTCACACACTTTTCAGCTGGGTTTTGATGAAATGATATGTGGGCCATTTGGAAGATCATTTGGTGCAGTTTCACCCGCCGTTCGGTTCGTGCCGTTACGAACGTTAACGTGCCGTTAAGAACGTTAACGGCCCTTCTTAAGACCTTAACCCCACTGGGTTCTGAGCCGCACGCCGCGAAGATGGGGAGACTGTTTCGAGGGGGGGTATCTCAAGGTCATATTGACATTAATGACGTCATAATTATGGCATTCAAATCTTTCAATTCCACAAGCCATGCGAGATCAAGATGATGAAAAATAGTGGTCTAGTCATTCATATCTTGCTTGGTGGGCACGATTTCGAGATCTAACGACCGCCAACTGAATATCAATCACTGCTGTGCAAGGTACGATGATGCAATCAAACAGTGACCGTATCGGGGAGGATGTCTACGAAAGAGAAATTGTGTTGTCAAGAGCAATCTTTTCCACTTACAGTATACCAATAGTTATAAAGGAGGTTGGTTGCATCATACTTTACCCTTCCTGTAATATCTTCAAATGTAAACATTTCCTTTAACATATGTTTAACTTCATCTTTCAGGACAACCTGTTTTCCTTTTGTGACTTCTGGTGCACTTACGGTCGACTATCTTTGTGTTTTCCCGTAGCAAACGTCTAGAAGTGGGAGATCCCAGCGGGAAATCAACCCCCCCCCCCCCCCCCCCCCCGGCCGGACGCAGGTTGTCTCAAACTCCCAACCGGGCGCAGATTTAAAAAAGCTTAATTCTGGAACATTTAACAGGCTGTGATAGAGCACACCAGAAAGTACTTTTTCAAACATGAGATAGAAAGTTTCTATCCTGCAAAAATCGATAGAAGATTGAAAGGGAATCGATGTAAAAGTCTTCAGACGACCCTGCGATGCTCATGAGTTACCATGTTGCAATTCGTTTCCGCTTACCATCCGACCAGGTGGCCCTCGTCGCGCTTAGTGATGCCAAGATTAGCGGATATCGATGTGATCGTACTTGCAAATGTTCCACACAAACCTGTGATACACACCTGAACTACGATCATTTTGATTTGTTTTCTATTTGTTCGACTGATTGTCGATTGTTTTGATTGAGTTACGGCGGGCGCTGATAGCGGCTGAGGTTGTAAGTCGTAGCTAGTAGTTGTTTCTGACGTGGGAACTGTTGCATAGCCTGGTTCCTTAAGCACTTTTTGAACGGACAACGCGGCCGTATTTTGACTTCGGGACTGGACTTCACGAAAACAGCACTTCTAACTCACACGGGTGTTTCTCTCTCTCTTGGAATCGCTGTCACTGCGTCTTCCCCAGACACGCGTGACTTTACGCAGGATCTGCGTTTTCCCCAGACACACGTGACTTTGCGCAGGATCTACGTTTTCCTCCCCAGACACGCGTGACTTTACGCAGAATCTGCGTTTTCCCCAGACACGCGTGACTTTACGTAGATCTAGCGTTTTCCCCAGACACGCCCGGACTTTACGCAGGATCTACGTTTTCCCCAGGACACTCCCGACTTTACGCAGGATTGGTGCCTCACACTGCAGTATGCCGTGACGTCATTATGTCTGTATGTACGTGACGTCACTTGTCCTGATTTCACGTCAGTATGGTACGTGACGTGAATCAGGGCGAAGATTTCCTGAGATGAGGGAGGGGCGAACAGTCAAGCACCATTCTCAGTCAAGTAAAGCGCAGTTAAAGCTTGCTCACTGACATGCCACATGCAGAGACAATTTCGTGAGTGTTAGGGAGGCCGCAGGGGGGGCATTTGTCTGCTCTCATCCTCACTTCCCGACAGGCCCATGAAATACCCCTCGAGAGGATTGGTGCGCTACATAGTGCCACTGATGTGTGGGAAGGGCACTAGGACAACTGGGCGGCATTAAAGGGCGTGTTCCACACATCATATGGTGCTTGAACTAAATTAGTCATCTGAAAGACCTTTCGGCGCTGTGGGTAATCAGGTCCTTCTTAACACCAAAGCCCATCTAGTTTCTGAGCTACGTGCCAGCAAAATGGAAGAGAGGTATATCGGGGGGAGCATGTTAAGTCACTTGGCATTCGTGGCGTCATAACAACGTCATTCGGGTTCTGCCATGTCATAAGCCATACGGTGATCAAGGCCAAGAAAAGTATAACTGTCGGGGCGTTTATACCTGATGTTTGCGTCAATTGGCTCTTAATCAATGTTGTGCAAGGTACGATGACGCAATCAAATCATGACGCATTTGGGAGCATGTTTCCAAAAAAGAGAATTGTGCTGTCTAAAGCAGTTTTTCACTTAAAAAGTTGC